GATATAAATTGTACGGATTTTATAGTGTTTTAGTTTTGTTTAATAAATATTGATATAAATCGAACCCGAATTAATAAATCACGTTACAATACTTTAAAATTTAGTCTCATGATTTAAACTTTTAATTTCAACCTTGGAATTTCGAGGTTGAACATTTTGAGATTAATTCATTGACTAATACCCCCAAGAGGGTATTAGTCAATGAGTTCAAGTTCAAACTTCAAGTTAAAACTGTCAAATTTAGTCTAGTAGCCTAAACTTTAAATTTCAAGATCAGCCATGAATATTGAAATTCTGAATGCATGAAATGCAAATTTATTTGCCCCGTGGTTGGGCGACTATACTATTCAAGACACTCCAGGACAAGAAATCGCCAAACAAGTGAGAATCACAAATACCTACTCTTTAATTGGGAAATCATCTCGATTTCTAGCGATTTTGTTACATAAAATGGTTAACGATTGGATCACCGATTTAAAGACGATAAAAAGATAATCTCTCAGCATTTATTAATCGTTGATGCAAATCAATTTCAGGTTAATTCCGTCGCTTAAATAAATGGTTTTTTAATGTCCGGGACGAACTGTACAAACTAAGCTAAACATGTAATAATTTACGCTAGAGACCTTAGCACGCAATCGCCTCCGAAACATTTACCAAAACATTCTCGTTTTAATCAAATTATCGTTAATAATAGTTTAGCGTTCTCATAAAAAATGCATGAACAAACTTTCTTAAGAGTGAAGTAGAATGAGCTTTCATATTAGAATGGTATATAATATGCAGAGACCGAACGTGAATTTAACACTATCGTGTAACACCTTCTTACATGATAGATGTAGCAATTTGCCACGGTTTCTGAAACTTTAATATCTGTAAAAAGTTTCCGCGACCGAACCCTCTCTTTGCATAAAACGAAAATTTAATATAGCGTAAACGTGAGGAAGATTCAGAAATAGATTGAAACATTGTATTTTACAGATAATTGCATAGCACCCCTGAGTAGATATATTCCGACTATATCTTCGTAAATATTAAATTAAGTGCACTCTCGCGATTCTGTCACGGTTTACTTGAATTTCGCCCCTTTATAAAAACAGAAAATTAGTTGCAAAAACCTGAAATTACACCGGCAATTCTTCTACGCAGATGTGCGGTAGCGGCATATCGTAATGTTTATAATTCTATGTCAGCCCAATCATTAATCATCTACAGTAATTAAACCTTGCGTACGCATTTAATCGAGTTGAAAATCTTCATGCACGATGGTTTGTAATTGCCTTATTGCACCAACACCTTCCAAGCGTCATGGACTGGAAATGGTTATGGTTTTGCTGTTGTTTTGTTCCATGTAGTTTTTAACTAACTCAAGACAGGACGATCAAAATCATTTTTATTTATGTTATGTCCAATGCTTGTTCTGTCTGTAATTGCTTCATTGTACTTCCGTTGGGCTACCACAACTTCTCCCTTGGTGATCAAGTTTTAATTTTTTCCATGGAAACAATGTCTCATATCATCATTGGTAAATAGAGCGTTTTTGGCTCTCCTCTACGATATAGGGGTTAATATGTTTGGAAATGGAAAACGAATTTTAATTATTACAAATCAGGTAGGCTACGAATGTAAGTGAATATGTGTTGTGTTTGTTCTAGACATCAGTAACATTAATCTAGACATCCTACATCACAATAAAACAAATGAACGTGTACGTTTCTTATTAGACCTTGAAGACAAGATGAAATTAGCATTTTGTTTTCTTGTATAGAGGTACTAATATATCTCTATCAGAGAGCCTAATGAAAGGGCACATTGCTATTAAACAAATTCAATTATTTTTCGCTACTCATTTGTTTTCTGAAATAAAAACAACTGAATGCTGTATTTTTATGTATTTATGTAATGTCCATGTACCTCGTGACCGTTTAATAGCACCAATCCGTTGGGCGTTAGCGAGCGATAATACAATCTTAAAGGGTTTTACGTGCCCGCAGAGTGATATGTGAGGAAGTGCTGAATATTAAACGGCCGTGGACGTTTTATGAATGAGTTTAAGCGCTTATGGTTGGTGGAGCTCAACGAATCCGTTTCGTTTATGATTAAAGATGGGCATTTTAATTGTTTAGCGCCATTTTGTGGGTAGAATTGTAAATTTAAAAAATGAGAAGGGATTAATCCAGGACGTCGATAAGATCAGGTATATTCGGTTTTGAACAACGAGAAAGTCATGTAACCGCCCGGAAAAAAACTTGCACTTCCGGCTAAACGACTGAACCGATTGAAACCAAATGTGGTACACATATTCTTAGACATCAACGGGAGAGCTGAATAGCGTTTGGACAGAATCGCGCATGTACGGATGGTATCTGTACTAGCCACAGCAAATTTTTTATTTACGCGTGGCCTGAACGGATCCATTTTTTAAAATGAGTTCTCTTTTATGGAAAATGCGCTGAAAGTACTCACTTAGTAGCAAAGACGAAATAACTTCACATATTCCACTTCCATACAAAACAAAATTACCACTTACCAGTGTACAAATATCTTGTCCCTCATTTCCCAATGTGTATTAACCTATCGAATAATAAAATGGAAGTGAAGATATAATCACAGCCATAGACAGATGTTTGGGTGCAACAAGCAGCCACAAAATTTAATAGAAAGAGACGCAGAAATAGAGCAATCGTTCGTTCCGGAAGGGTATTTAACTCAGTGTGGTACCTAGCTATTTTTCGAAGCGGTACCGGATCAGGTTTTGGTGCCTTATTAGTTACCATTGAGCTCTAAGTAATAAAACACTGTACATTTTTGAGAGAAACTTTACACCAAATTTTAAAAGCACTGCACTACTTAATTTTAGAATAATGCTTTGAATAACGAAGTCTTTCACTCAACGAAGAATAGAAATACATTTATTTATCATGTTTTCAATTCTCGCGTCAAATTTAGCTATGACATAGGGTACAAGTCGTAGAAAATGATTGCGTCTTAGAATAAGGGTGCAAATGCTGGTCACACTAATACAGACTATTGCATAGATCACAAATAAAGTATTATTATTATTAGTTTAAATTTGCAGCCCTTTCCCACCGCTGTAACTTTGTTCTACAAGGGCCATTCAGAAAGTAACAGACGTTTTAAAATAAAAAATTAAGAAAGTGTAAGAAACAACTGTTATTATATACACTCTTAGGCTGTTTTTCAACATAGTCGCCATTCATATTGAGGCACTTAACATAGCGTGGTACAAGTGTTTTGATTTAAACTTTGTATACATCCGCGGACTGTGGGGGCGTCAGAAGTGGGTACCGACAAAGGGAATATGGTAGCTCCAGACAAGATCTTATTGATTGTGGAGTCAAAACTGGCTAATAAAAGTACTGATCTGCCTCACAAAAATGCCTTGGATCTCACACGGTGACTTTGATCATTTTTTAAATTTTTTAACAATGTTCCGTTCATCCTAAAGGAGCGTAAATTTAGTTTTCATTATATTTCAGCCTCGATTTCAGCGCACCCTGTAGTCGACTTAAGCAAACTATTAGAATTTAACTGCCGTTCTTGTCTTTTATGACTGACCTATACGGCACACCACGTACTGCCCATCCCGACTTAGTGCTCTCGGTACTTCAGCGCCTCTGGCGCGCCCTCTCGCCTTCAGAGCGCGGTGCCGCGGCACCTTTGGCACCTACCTAGTTACGCCACTGATTTAACTTGCAGTGCATCTACGGGAAGCAAAGCAACGCACCCCTTGTCTCAGAAAACCTGTCTTATGCAGGAAAACATAGGGAATATAATGACACTTGTTTTTGATGCGCCGCCGAAAGGTAACGATTTTATTCGCCTTCATCCCTCATCATTTCTACATACCTTAACATACGTAATTAATAATTATATTCGCTTATATCACTGAGCGCTATTCATGGTTTATGTAATCGAGATTTAATAAGCACGACATCGACTTTTTGTCTGAAAATAAATGTGGCGGATAATACGAAGTAAAAAAAGTGATCCACTTTATAACTGGGTTCGGGAATTTAGAATTTGGGATTGCGAAATGACGGGGTCAACGGCGGAGTTGTGCTAAAACATAACGGCGTTATCTAAAATTAGGTTTACCGTCAGTTTCGAAGGTTTTTACAACATAAAATGGCCACAATTTCATTTATATGCACGACGGAGGGCCACCGGCCCCAGTCTGTCGGGCGTTAGCCAAGGATAATACAATCTTAATAGGTTTTATGTGCTTACGACAGCCCAGCCAGGGGAAGCGCTGAATTTGCAATATTAAACGGACATGGGCTGTTCAGGAATGAGCTTCGGGCAGTTTTTTTGGCGAAGCAGAACGAATCCGTTTCGTTCATTGTTAAAGATAATTACTTAGCGCCATTTTGTGGGTGGTTTTGTAAATTTAAAAGATGGGTAAGGATTAATCCAGGAGGATTAACTGAGTATTCAGTTTTGAACCACGAGAAAGTTTGGGATAAGAATTTTTTGCGGACAATTTTCCGATATAACATAAGTCAAGAAGACTTTTCGTTCACTAAGTTGCTGACGAGTGCCTTAAAATCATATAAATATACGCAGAACCGTGATAAAACGGGTGCGAAAATAAAAGTTCAATCGCGCTCAAGGAATAAATTTCGTTTGAACCTATGCAGAAAGGATTATAGTGAAAGTTAATGGAAAATCAACTTTAATCGTTTGTATTTGGAAGACGTTAGTAATAAATAGCATTGGGAAAGCGGAAACTAACACCTGGCCCGTCAAGCTCCAAAAGGATCCTGAAAACTTGGACGGTGGTCCCCCTCCTCTATACCATTTAGATCCCAATTCCGTTATTATTGGTCAATTTCGAAGGTACCGTTAACCTTTTGTTTGAAATCGCGAAGGCACGTTTAAAATATTACAATCTCGAAATATTAAGATACAATTCTATACTTCCACACATAAACGTAACATTAATAGCAATAATAATTAATGAATAGTTAATAACTCACCATACAAAAAAGGAATTTTATTGAACAAACTGGAATTGCATTGTTGACTCACCTGAAAAAAAAACAAGTATTAGTTTCTACTATTTAACTCAATTAATTATTTATTCCAAGAAAACTATTCGATTGATTGTGTAAAGCATATGTGTATACAGGGTGGGCCATTAATGCGTGGGTGAAAGAATGTGGGTTTATTAACGCACATATTTAAAATTCATTGTCGGGACACTAAAACGGACCAAGGAATAAAAGTATGCAGTAATATACAGGTTTTATTTAAAGGAAAATGCAACTTTGACAAAAATCACCCTGTATAACAATGTATAGCAATTTCGTTGAACAAAAAATAATCCGGTGTTAACACGGGATTATTTTTGATCCGAGTGTTCACATTTGATTGGCTGGGTAGTGGGCGTGTCCAAGTAGATAGTGTCAAAACCAATCACGTTTCTTAAGATCAGGATTAAGATTAAACTCAAATCAAATAAGATTCCCGGAGAGATATTACCAACTTTAACTTACTCCAAATCCAAAGAAACCACAACGAAAAAGGTTAAAGTGGAGGACTAGTAGTACAGACGGACAAAGTGCGGACAATAGCGTTCATTTTCCTAATGCGCTAAAAATACCTCAGGGACCATACATTGGAAAAGTGTAGTAGCGTAGATAGTTTTTTGAAGGCCCAATGATTTTTTTAATGGAATGAAACAACGAAATAAATCTATTAGGTATAGTTATGTAGTGAAATAACTATTATTGGTACCTTTTACGATTCGAGGTAGAAAAATAAAAAAAAATGCACTTGTAACACGCATTAAAATTGACTATTTTTAACGAGCATTTCAATCGTTTTCGTGGCGGAATTTTAACACTGATGAATTTCGTTAGCTAGTTCACTCAGTAAAATTGCAATAAATAAAACCGCTTCTTTATTATGAAGGAAGCGCTGTAAAATTCGTAGTTATTCAATTCGAGACATGCCATTGTATGAATGCATGGAAATAAGTATATGTTTCCACTACTTTTTGGCATCAGCAACAAAATCAACAAAATTCAGATAGAGATCCTTTGTACTACACTCCGGTAAAAGAGAATTTGCGCTACTAAACCTCAAAATGTGACAGTGTGCCACAAGGAGGGAATTTACAGCTTCCCCGCACCTTGTATCTATAATTCTATACGAGTAGTTATTTAGTTCTTTACTGAGCCCGCACGAATTGAAAAGAAAAGTAGAAAAATCGCTTCAACAAATATTAATTTTCAAGTTATTTCACGATTTTGCAGCAAGAAAGAATATTTGGCAAACGTTCAAGATTGAAGTAGAAAATTCAATAACGTACTCCAGTTTATAGTGTAATAAATGATTTTTAAACATCGCATTAAATAATCTCAACGTAATTCAAGTGACTTTTATTATTTGCTAGGGTGCGTACAAATAACGATAGGTATTAATCCACGTCATTAGTAAATGAAGTGCTAACCACCAAACAATCAAACCCGAAATTAATAGGTTTGATTTGGGTTATCCCATCGTTCCCAACGGGTCGAGAAGGGCAGATAATCGTTTGTAGTAGTAGGTACTCATGACGCAATATAATTAATTAGTGCTCGTTTAAATTTAAATACTCACCTAATACAATTTTCCAACCGGCGGATTGACATTTTTATTTAGCCATTATTTTTCACTAGAAATGGAAACGAAGTATTTCTTGCGAAAAGTTTTCGAACAAAATTGCTAAGAGAGACCATTAAAATTACTTCTAATAAGCCATTTTTACGATTTCTAAAATGAAAATGTCTACGCCTTTTGAAGCTTTTTCCGAGGAATTTGAAGGAGGTTTCTAAGAAGATTCTTAAGATTCCTAAGTAGATTGCGCAAAAGGATTTCCCGTAAAATTCATAGGATGACTGTTAATAATACTTCAAAAGGGATGAGCCATGAGCACCATTGTTAAAAAGTTTGTAGAGGTGCTGAATAGTGCTTCTACAGAAGTGAAAATCATTCATGTTGCGGTTTTTTATTTACCGCTGGCACAATTAGTAAACGACTTCAGATTAGAATTGGATAAAACCAGGCTAACCAAATTTTGATTTTACCTACTGAAATTAGAACGAAATTCAGCATAAGCCTCGAAGTCTACTTGTTGGATCAAATTTCATCCGTTTTAAGAGGGATATAGTATTACAATATTACCACATCATGATGTAAAACTATGATGGAAAATGCTGATCGCTTTGTTTTTGAAATAATAAACAGTCGTTCGGGATTGGTAGAGAAAAAGACACTAACCATTAGAAAATTTAGACAGCCCCATTTTTAGGAAAAGTTCGCCATTGTAGGCGTTCAAAATGACAAAGAAACTAAGGGGGGATTAGTCCTATTTAAAAAATGAAATTAACCATCACAGCTACCAGAAGCTGAATTTTCGGGATGACTTTTTTGCGTCCGGGATATCAAGTGAAGAGTTTTCGAGTTTTTTAACTAGAAAAATGTCGACAGAATTCTTAAACAGGGAATAACGGAACATTACGTGATTTCGGAAATTTCGGTAAAAATTTCGATTAGATAAGTAAAACAAAGTGAAACCTAAACCAATCGCTTTAAAAAATTATAAAGGGAATTTGGCCGATAGACATTTTAAGGGCGGAAAGGAAAAATAAAGAACATTCAGACTAGTATTGTTTGGTCGAAAAAGAATACCTACGTCAAATGAAGGAGTCTATTAATCTATTGCGCTGAAAAGAAGCTTTTTTGCATTAGTAGTGTATTAAATTACGATCTGAAACTGAACTAATTTTCCCGTGGGCAAGGTAAAATATCAGCAACTGGTTTGGTTAGAAGATTTAAAAAATATAGTGAATGGAAAAGCTCTCCTGTTACATTTAAAATCAATTAATTAAAAAAATAAAGTGTTCGATCTATGGATTGTGGTTTATTAGGGAAACATTGACAGCATTAAAGTGACTTTACACTACTAAACAAGTTAATAAAGTAACGAGTTTTACCAGCGATTCGGTATCCTAAAAAAGTCGATTGCGTTTTCCATCTTCACGAGAATTTTGAGATATCCGACGGTTATCCAAATTAGGCCCACATTTCATTTGAGCTAAGGTAATTTTAATAAATTAATTAATTTTATTTAAGAAGTATCCATTTCACAGAGGAAACCGATTCAATTTTGTATGCAATGGACACCACCGGGTACAGGAAATATACAATATTAATAAGGATCGTCGCTCCGGATACTTATTAATAGTTTTTCCTAATTTTTGAATTTAAATATTAACAACTTTTGCAACGACCGTAAAAACAAATCTTTATAAAAATGACCCGTTAGTCGTTTCAATTTAAACGCGCTTAATCGATATAGTTTTCAAATTTTCATCAAAATTGGAACAAACTAAAAAAGTTATTTAAGGTCAAAAAAGGTCCCAAATTAATTTGGATCACCGGTTTTACACGAAACATTGAAATAAATTAAGTAAAAAAATTGTAAAAATGCATCGCAAAACAAACCTCTTTTTACCCAACCTTATTAATGGATAACCAGGTGTCAAATTCTTGACAGAATAGCTTCCTAGCTGAAACCAAAAATTACCAACCTATGTACGCACTTACAGACGGGAAAAATTTATTTTTTAAAAGTTGCTTAAGCGCAACACGATTTTTGCGCATGCATTTTGTTTGCTTTTATTAGAGGGACCTACCATCCAATTTTCGTTAACATTGCTCCATAAATAAGAAAGTTGGATGTTGCACATGCGCAACTCGATTTTTTGCGCATGCATTTTGTTTTCTTTTATTAGGAGGACCTACCATCCAAATTTTTTTAATTGTTCCATAAATAAGAAAATTGCATTTCTGCGCATGCGCAACACGATTTTTGCGCATGAATTTTGTTTGCTTTTATTAAAGGGACTTACCATAGAAATTTCGTTTAAATTGCTTCAGAAACAAGATCGTTGCGTTTTGCACATATGCAACACAATTTTTTGACTTTGACAATTTTTTTCTCCGTTTTTTGATAATATAACCCGGCCCAATTTTTTGTAGGTTGTACACAGGAAAATAAGGTCTTCCAAATAATAGAATAAAAATTTTAGGTTGCTATTTGAAAAAAAAAGTTCGATGCCGTTACGGCGCTCCAAAATTTTTTTTCAAAAATCCGGCCCGTTATTTTTCTGTTCGGTATGCCTAAAACATATATACAAAATTTCAACAAAATCCGTCGAGCCGTTTTCTCAGAAAATTGCCAACAAACGTACGTACGTACGTACATACAGACGGAAAAAAATTTTATTCTTTAAAAGTTGCTTAAAATGGTCTAAAACGTCGACATTTGATGAAATTTTGAAATGTTCAAAAAACGGCTATCGCAATAGCTACCTAGCACATGCTAGGAAGCTAATAAGGTAACTGAGTGAACTGCCATTACAAGATATACTTACATAGACAACCTGTGGGATTATTACGGACCATGATTTGCGCTTTATAATAAATCGTCCGAAATTGTGATGTTAATTTGGTTTGGGCAGATTTAAACAAATAATTCATCGGTTTTTAAAACAACAGCTGAAAAACACATAAATAAAACTGACACAGGTTCCAATTTACTCCCGCTGGAAATCATAATTCGATACAAAATTATTGGAGTGAATAATTTCTTGTGGGCGGATGATGAAGTAGAAAATTTTCGCCCGAGAAGTAGGTGTCAAAATATAGTTTTGCTGCTTCTTAGCGGCGTCGGAAGTTATGTAAAATACGTGCATGCTTGTCGGCAATAAATTATACAAAATGTAACTTATGTAAAGTTTATTTAGTCGGGCCGACCATTATGTAACGCATCTGTTCAAATCTCGACACGCCACATCATTCTAATCGTCGAGACGTCTTTTTAAAAACCAAGATACTTTTGCCCAAATTGTCTTAAGTTCAACCAGAAACTGATGGAATTACGTGGGATGTCGTGCAAGGCTTCTAAAGCACATTAATTCCTTCTAATGCGGTTTGTAAATTATCGCAACAATGACATTATTTGAGCGAGGCCAAAAGGG